AGCCATTTAAATATGTCACTTTGGGCTCTGGGAACTTTAATCAATTTGCTACTTTCTGATATTTTCTAGATTGAAGGCTGAAGATTTAAATAACATACATATCTAAATGTGACTTTACAACTCAGCCTAAAAAAATACCCATTGCTGTGGAGCCTATATCGTCCCTGAGAGATAACTGAAGGGCTGGAAGGAGTGAATTTCATGATACTCAATCAATCTGTGCGGCTCTGCTTCTCGCCTGACCTGCCTTGAACTGCAGCGCTCCACGCCTCCAGCAAACACCACTTCTGTCTCCACTGACAACGGGCTTGCTGCTGTGTCTGTTTGTGTGCGGAATACTAAATGTCATGTGTGTGAATGCAGAGCCTCTGGGATGTGTTGGTGTTAGAGATTGGCAGGTCCCAGGGGAGTATAGGGAGTGAGTGATACTGTTCATGAATCCTACAAAGAGTAAAAGAAGTTTGATGAAATCCTGTAACTGAGCGCTCACTCTCATTCCCTTGTAGGAGACAATTCCTGTTTTCTAATCAGGATGAAAATTAATTTGCCTACGATGTTAAAAAGACACCAGACTTGCAACAGATTGAGGATCGCTGGATCTCAGCAGGGGAGCAGGCCTTCCCATATGTGTCCCACTGAGTACAGCCTTAATGAACTAATCAATGGGATGGGGTTCTCATCATGTGCCGAAAACATTACTATAAGTGCTCCCAGTGGACGGACAGCATCATAATGTTACAGGTGCTCACCAGCACTGCAGTCGGATTTTGTGTAATTTCCTGATAATAGGCAATATATTGTTCCTATAGACAACTACTTTAACCTTGAACACTGTGAATCCCAAGAAAACCATGCAGAATAGTTATTAATTAAATAATCTATTGTCGACCCTCATGTTGGACGAAGGAAAGCATTACTCATCGGTGTCTGCTCTCTGGACTGACTCCATTCTCTTTCATCCCCACCAACCCCCAGAGCTAGTAAAAAAACAGATAAAAGCAACTTCAAAGAGAGGCCTGCTTTTTCTGCTCCGATCCTACAGCGGGCAAATAATGAAAAGGAAGATTTGAAATTGTTTGGGATGTGCAGTGTGTAGTGGCCATGTAGATGGCTTTTAATGGTAGATGTGATGGATTATCCTAGCCCTATTTAGAGCTGTAACCATGCCAACAGATCAATCCTGCCACTTTTAAGTTAAGTTAAGTTCTTCATCAAACATCTAATTACTTCACAAGGGGCACAGTGATTTTTTTCCTCCCTCTATAAGTTTTCCATAGCAGCGCGATCAGAGTGTGCCTGTGTTTTTGAAGGGGGGCCTGCAATCAGCTTAGACAATTGGGTTATCATCACCAGGAAGCAGGGTTAGGGTTAGACAGAGGGTCCCATCAGATACCCAACACCAAGATTCTATCCCTCAGTCCTTGAGCTGGACATGTGTATTATTTGAATTAAGTGTCTAGGGTGGATATCCGATGTGTCCACTAATTAGATGGGGTCCATGAGAGTAAAATGATACAGGTTGGAGAAAATAGTGATGCTTCACAACTTACATCAAGTTAAAGCTGCAGTTCGGAAGAAACTGATCCTGGTTTGTGGTGATCACTACTTCTCACTTAATTTAAAACGTCAGTAAACATATTCCTAAGGAGTCAAAGGTTAGTTACAGCATGATGTTCATTCAGTAAGTTATTGTTCCATTTAGAGTAAAATAAACCATAAAGCACTGTATAGATTGGAACATGAATACCATGTGATTGACAGCTAGTACAGTCCAATGGGTGCAGGTTGCAGGACATGCAGTGTCCTCGGGATCTCTGTCAGGCTCAACCCGTTACTTCTGGTTTTACGACAGGTTGCCACTTGGATGTGAGTGATATTCTCTCATTTTTGTGAACATGAATTGTGAACCTTGTGTCAGATCATGAGCACAACCGGTCACCATCCACCAAAACGTGTGTCATATTGAAAGCTGTGGAAATAGACTTTAGTTCCCACATTAACAACACAAATTTATGAAGTCAAAGAGAAGGCTGTAGCTTGGTAGAAGGTTTGCCCAGCTTGCTGTCTGCCTCATATCGATCTGACCAAGGTTAGTAAGCAGATGCCGTGCTGCTCTGTCGCCCTGAGGAGCAAGCTGTGGACTGTTGCTCTTTCATCCTCATCCCCATCTAAGACAGATGTTAAGGGATTTTCACTTATTTCAATCATCAGCATGAATGTTATCTTTACACCTCAGTGTGCCGTGCATGTTCAGAAGCCCCATTGCTGGTGTTTTAAAAGCTGATTGGTTGGAGGGGTGTTCGCTTTGTCATCTCACCACCCCCTGTTTGCTTGCATGTTAATTACCATAGAGAATCCATGTCTTTCTTCCACTTTGGCCAGCCGCAGGAATTAAAGTTAGATAAAACCAAACTCATTACATTACTGCCCTTTTGGCAGCACTCCCCTTCAGCTTTATAAATTTGGTCCAAACTATTTGACAAACTGAAGGTTTTTCTATCCTTGTCGAAGTATCATGGTTACACAAGCAGTAAAAGTGGCTTGTACACAGCGTTGATAAGCGGCCTGTGGTAACCAACGTCTATGGCCTTAATCTTCTCTCAGTCACATCTTCCTCCCACGCTGTCTACTCCCAGCCTCTCTGTCAGCTGCACTCAAATTATTTCCCTATCTTTCATATTGTGGGCATGATCCTTTGACGGGGGAGTAAAGTGAGAATTTGTAAGACCTTGGAGGTGCATGCTATTTCTTTTCTTTGATCAAATTTGTAGCGTTTGTACCCTCTTTATATACAGTCTATGGACTGTACCTAGTCGACTTGTTGCCAAAGCTGCGATGACACAGCAGGGGGCTACTCCCTGCAGACTGCTGAGTAAACAGTAGTTCCACTTAAATGTACTAACGTTATCTTGCAAAAGCTAATATGTGCCATGACCACGCCACTAACTACTAAACTAGTGTGGGGATGTCAGTGTTCCAGACATGTAGTCATGAAGTATTGGACAAATTAATATTAACCTGATGACAGTGCTTAAAAAGTAATTGTGTCAGCACAAGTGACAGTTTGCTTTCTGGGGGTACAAATATTTGAATCAAATTTTCCCTCATACATCTTTCGACATTTTACTCTTCACTCAATTATTTAACATTTCATTTGGACAATAGTTGTTCAAATATTCCACTTTGGACCAAATTGGTGAATCTACTGTACATTACAATTCCTCAGTTTCAGTGTTGCTTTTATACTGTCTTTATAAAACAAAAGGTTATTATTGGCTCTAGATTTGATCAACTTACAATATGCTTTCATGTAATATAATGGAGTTTGTAAAATGCTCATAATACATAATTAAAGAATATTACAGTTTGAGCTACATTTGAGGTTAATTAAGATAAATATAACTGTAATGTGCCCGAATATTGTTAACATGTCTTGGAAGAATGTCTTGCACTCAGAGAGCTGAGGGCGAGTACAGACCGGTTTTGCGAAACGCCATTTCATCTCCGTGAGCACCTCTCTATTCTCTGTTAATAGCACCTCTCTATTCCCTGTTATAGCATCTCTCTATTCTCTGTTATAGCGCCTCTCTATTCTCTGTTAGTGGCTCTGTGCGGCCACAGCTCTGAATAATTCAACAAAGCAAAACAGGGATTGGTGAAGCAGAAGAAGAGATGTGGTATGAAGATGATCTCAGGGCACGGGTACCAGTAAATCAAGTTTTTGAGGAGCATACTTGAATGTGAAAGTGTGGGTGTCTGTTTAATTATGCAAGAATGTGTGGTTGTGATAGTCATGTGAGTCAAAGACCTTCTCCTCTCTCCTGTGACATAGCTATTATTTCATACATAAATTCTCCCAGAGTATGTCCAACCTCAGCCGTTATCTTCATTCAGATGCAGTTTCATCTCCAGGGAGGCCTCACAAACAGTTGACTTGAATGATAACACCCTCGGAAGCACACAATGTGTTGACATTTGAGTCCGGGTGACGGAGCAGGGCTGTGGGTGTGATTCAGGTGTCCCCACAGTTGAATATTTCACAGCGCTGACAGACTGAGTTATGCGCTGCAGGTAGTGGAGAAGGTCAGTCTGGACACAAAATGTTTCCCACTGATAACTGACTGACCTGACAGGTTTGAATTGAGGTGGTCAGCCTCAATTCAAACCTGTGCAGAGTGGTAAGGGTTGGGGTGAGATGCAGAGTTAGTGTTAATCCAGTGAAGACTGACCAGACCTGAAAGCTCATCTGTGTTTGGTAAGCTTTATTAATAGCCATGCTAGAGGCATGGTTTGTTCAGACTGAAATATATATATATATATATATATATATATATAAGTATATGATGAATTGTGTGGTCCACAGAGGATGAATTCAACAGATTTTGAGGATCTTGAACTTACTACTGATATATATTAAAAGCTGCCAAAGTCTCACTCACTTGTGTTACAGCAGCTGGTGTCGTGTGGTGCAGTTGTCCAAAAAAATAGTTGATGCAAAATACAGTTTAACAGTGAACCAATGATTCTATTGCATCTGCATTGCTTCAGCACTGGCTACATGGACAAACAGGCTATGGTGGGTTTGGTATGGTTATGATTTCATTGCTGACAGCAGGATTTTCTTGTTGTTGAAAGGTGGGGAATGTGCCAAGGAAGAACCCATTATGTTTTGGAACTGATTCAATGAAGGGGATGAGATAGGAAATCTTGTTTTCTTTAGGTCACCAGTTGTGGTTAATTTCATTCTATCTTGTTTTGAAATATGAATATTAGTATCCCCTTGAAGAACCAATACTCATAAGTATCAAACGAACAGAGCTCTCATTCTAAAAAGTGCACAAATATGTCATGATCAGGGAATGATATGGTTACGATTAATACTGGTGCAACCTATGATGCAGATGTGACATAAATGTATGTCAATGAAAATGTATGTGAATCATGGAGACCAAAAGAATCTGAATAAAATTCTAAACCTGCCTCCTCATTTGTGTCTCTAGTTGCCCCTGGTTGACTAAGGTGATCTCTTCCGCTGTGCCTCTCTACAATGGCGTGGTCTTCCTCTTCGTTTTGGCCAACTTCAGCATGGCAACCTTCATGGACCCTGGTGTTTACCCCAGAGGTTTGTATATGCATGTGTGTGAAAATGGGTTTCACTGTCTAGGCATGTGTCAACCATAGACTGTGTATAAAGATGGACAGCACATCTCCACTTTCTCCCACTATCCATAAATAAAGCTAAAATACCCTGGATACAAATATTGCTTTATATAGAGTCTATTGTGTCAAGCATTGGCTGTATATAAAGCAGGATGACATGATGGCTCCCCAAATTGAAGCCAAAGTGTTCCAACTCCACCTGGTGGCTGGCTGCAATATAGCATCCTCCATGTTAATGGATGGGGGATGGACCAAAATAAAAAGTCAAGCACATTTCTCAGAGATGGTTTAAATCACTTTACGTAGTTCTCATCAGTTTGGTTTTGATCAGTTATTTAATGCTATAAAAACAGAGTGAAACGTCATTATTGACAGCTGAGACTAGGAAGGAAGGGACTCCATATCTCCATCTTCAGTTGTTACGGCACAGACTCTGGCTCCAAATACACAAGACGGCGGCGTTCGTATCTGGGATATTTTACCTTTATTTCTGGATAGTGGGAGACACTAGTGATGCATTGTCCATCTTCATATTCAGTCTATGGTGTCAGCACAGTTTCTAACTTAAAAAAAGACCTATTGTAATATTTAAACACCATCCACAAATCCCCTCCCTGTTGAATCCTCATGTAGAGAACAAGGCTGTAATAGCATCAAATTTATCAGAGCACCGCCCTCCCCAGTGTTTTCACTACCCCGTTATCTCCCTGTAACAGCCTGTACAGTCCACATGCTCCACATGCAGGACACTGGTGGAGGTGATGTTATACAACGTTCTTATTGTGAGGTATATTGAATATCTCTCAGCCGTCAAACAAGCAGCATTACCTTACTGTGTGCTTCTGAAGCAGACTCATCTTCAGCGCTGCCTTGGTTAAGTAATGATGATTGAACTCCTCCCCAGGGATGTGTGTAATGTGCTTGTAAATGATAAGCACCTTTAGGAAGAGCTTTCTCTACCCATAAAGGGGGTAATAATCATTAGGTTGTAGAAAAGCTTAGGTTATCAGCCTCCCCTGAGGTGACAGTGGCCTTCTGCTGCCTCTGCCCTGCCGCCTTTTATAGACTACTGAGGGATGAGCTGTTTTCCAAGCTCTTCATATCTCAGAGGCAACAGAGCTGCCAGTGAAGTTATGATTAAAAATGAAGAACTGACATGGCCATTAAATGACTTCTCCTTAGAAGATCATTCATTGCAAAAGTGAAAATGAAAGGTTATGTGTGTGCTAAGGTTTTTATCCATTCAATTCACTGACTTATGGCACAGAGGTTTATTATTTTTGTTCTTTGGGGAAACCAAACGGCCAGTGTTTTGCAAAATAAACTGTGACAGGCAGATGAGACAGATGACTGCGGCTAATAGAGCTACACAGCTACAAGTTAAAGTATAAGAAAATTCAGTGAAATTTTCAGTAAGAAAAGTTTCCCTGTTACACAAGGGTGAAGTACTGTCCAGTCCTCCGTACCACTAAAAGATTCAATGCTGGGAAAAACCCTTTTAAGATCGCATTTCAACAAAAACACACTCACACAAACAAACACACACACACACACACACACACACATACACACACACATACACACACACACACACACACACACACACAGCCTAACCAAAACCTTACCATGACTAATTTATGTCAAACCTAACCACCACTCACATATTACCACTAACCTAAACCAGGCCCTCTTGTTTTCATTGGCATAGACCAGCACTAAAATTGTAACCCATTGTGGTGATAATGCACATTTTTTTTGTGTTGATGTGTGACAAAAACATCCTGATATTGATCCCAGATGGTTTTAGAAAATGTTTTATCTATTAATTTCTGCATGGACCAATATTTTTTATATCAACAATATGTAACACTAAGATACTTTTGTATCAAATAGCCCCTTCTTGTGCTCAAACTGTGCACTTGCACTGTGCGTGGATGTATTACCCGTGTTTATTGTCTGCTCTTGGATTTCTTCTTCTGTGTTTTTATTTTTTGTGCAACAGATCTGTCAAATTCCCCAACCAGTATAATGCCAGGTTTAGTGATGACAAAATAAAATTGTCCCACCTAAAGGCTAAAGTGACTACATGCAATGTAAAGTAGTCGCTCACACTGATGAACCCACAGAGAATTATCACCCAACTCTGCAGTTCTGCTCTACAGAGCAGCTTGCTGTGTTTCATCGGATTTACAGCCGGCAGCTTTACTGACTGTTTTTCTTCAGTCTCACCGCTCTCATCAACCTCATTTTCCAGCTTTGGCAAGCAGCTATTTTTAGCAAAAGAAAAAAAAAACAGCACCCTGCCCAAGTATCAATGCGCAAAGTAAACGCTATCGCATCCTCACTCACAGTGTGTGTCTCCCTCAGGTAGACACACAGCTCACCTTGTCATGAAGAATACACATGTGAACACTTGTACATGCTGATGCTGTGGTGGAAAATAAATGAAGTAAAATCCTGCAGATATGTGATGTCCAGTTTCAAAATGAATTAAAAACCATAACCTCAATAAATTGACACCTGATCTTCACATGAGCTGTTATCACATCAGAGCAATTTGAGGATTTCTAACATATAACATGAATGCTAATAACAGGATTAAGCCTATGATATGTTTTGATAAAGATTCAGACATTACATGAATATAGGCCTGATTAAAATGAGGTGAAAGTGCCTCACAGTGCTAAAAATAGACATCCTGAACAAAATAAGCTGTTTATGCAAATCAGCGACAGGGGGTGAAAAAACGTACGTTTATTGTGAATGTAAAAAAACCTTTTGTTTTCCCTCTCGCGCGCTTTCTCTTTTTCACGCTCTCTCTTGAATTCTCTCTGTGTGCTCAGCTACCTGGTGTTCCCTGCAGTTATTATAGCTCCATGAAATGATTTTTCTTCTCAGGTCGGAGAATGTGCCCTTTGATCAGCATAAGACATATTTTATTTTTCCACAGCAGCCCCAAACCAAAAAGCTCTCAGAGGCACAGAGTGTAAAGCTTCATGTAAACACTTTGATTGAGTGCAGAGATGCACCAAGGACGACAGGAATACCACTTTTGTACATCCAAGCTGTGGTTTAGACTTGAGGGGTTCACTTACAGTACATGTTTAGGTCAGATAAAGCAAGGCATGAACTCTGCCGGGGTTATTCCCGTAAATGAAAAACCTTTCCATTCTTTTAACTAGTACAGTGCCTGTTTTTAAATTTCCAGTTTGTTTGGCCCGTGGTAATGCTGGTTGCAGTTTTCTTTCTCAAACTATAAAAGTGACCTGCAAGTAACCTGCTAAAGAACCATGAAGCTGCACCCCCGCTAATGCACACAGAGTTGTCCATCTGTTTATTCAAAGTTCAGCAAAACCCCTAACCCCCTTATCAGCTGCTGTTGCCGTTGTTGTGAACACACCCGTTTTCGGGATTGACACGATCACTTGTGTTGATGAGTTCCAGCCACTGCTGCTACAAAAACACTGGTCACCTGCTTATTCTAATTGTATTCACATTAAACATATCATCACCAAATTCACCAATGCACTTCCTTGGACCCTTAAAGATACACATGCATGTGTGAAGATGTCAAAATGAACGATTCTCAAGATACAGATATAGATATACAGATATTTCTGGAATATACCAGTGGTATAGGTTAGCATGGCATTTTACACAGTATGATTTTCAATGGCAGAGTGGCTCTGTCCCTGATCGTTACTCCTCACAGGAAGTGAAAACACCTGTTCCTGTAGGTTATCTGAGGATGTAGAAGAAGACATTTTAAACTTGGTCCAGAGACTGCACACAGCGTGCACACTGTGCACACTGCAGCGCCCCAACTACTGCCAGTTTACACTAAGATTATTGATATTGAAAGTATTGTGTGTCGACACCGCACCGGATTTGACACTGCATTTCCCTGGGCCCTTAACAATACACATGCCTCACAAGAGATTTCTGGAATTCTCAGATTGACGTGTGAATATTTATGAAATAAAAGCAAACAGCTTCTGTTACACACCAGTCAGTGTTAAAGACAGAATAAATAGTTCACATCTGTAAAAATGTCGGTTTGCTGCCTCTGCAGAAAAGCACATAGTGGGGCTGAGCTTCATCTAAGGTTGCTCCTCTGTTGACTCTGTCAAAGGTGTGTGTATGTGTGTGTACTGTGACACCATATGCATCTGTGATCTAATGTTAATGTGAACGCTCTGCGGGTAAATTTATGCTCCTTTCTACAGCCGACGAGGACGAGGACAAGGATGATGACTTCAGGGCACCACTCTACAAGAACGTGGAGATCAAGGGCATTCAGGTCCGGATGAAGTGGTGCGCCACCTGTCACTTCTACAGGCCGCCTCGGTGCTCGCACTGCAGCGTCTGTGACAACTGTGTGGAGGTGTGTGAATACTAAATGTACAAACACAGAAAAGGTGTATCTTCAGACATTATGCAGGCAGCAACATCTAAATATGTATAAGGTTAGACTGATACAGTTTTAGCATTTTTATCAGTAATCTGATGTTGCCCTTTTAGCACAGTGAAGGTTGGATTGTATTTTGTCTCTTGAATTAACTTAGAGGCTTTCCTATCCTGCCAAGAATTAAAACTGAGACTAACACTGAAAATAAATACAGTGTATATATATATATATCAGTTTTAATTGTAAAATACTATTTTTTAGTACTGGCTCTTAAATCCTCTTTTAAGTCTTAATACTACACATGTGGTATGATGTGGAAATATACAGGTTGTTTCGTCTGATGTATATGTATATATACTGTATATATACTTTATATTAACTATCAAAAACAAATTAAAAACAATACACTTGATTATTAGTATTTACACATTAAGATGCCACTATTATTGTACAGGAGATATTTGACTTTGTCTTTGTCCCCTTGAATATGCCCTTGTCCCTTAAATGTGTAAAGCGTCCTTGGGTCCCTTGAGAGGTGCTATAAAAATGTAAGTTCTTATTAGTTTAAAGTTTTCTCCTTCCTCATAACCATCCAACTCCGCCAAGAACATTTTTGTTGACTTCAATCAAGAAATAGAACTATTGTCGTATCAGTGATAAGAGATCATGCATAGGTCAAAATGTATTAAAAAATTAAAATCTAACTAACTAAAGTGGAACGCAGTAGAGTGCATACCCCCGACAAGGACCAACCCTTACATTTAATCAAGCTGCACCAAATTTGACACACTCATTAGGCCCCTAAATAGGCCATCAATATCTCATCGAGATACACTAATTATTCTCTGGGAAAACTGTGAAAAATGCGACATTAAAGAAAGTGAAAAAAAGACCACACCAAAACTGAAAGACACATGCGACATCCTTTCACCAAGTTTAGTGGTTATCCGTCACTAGGTTTTGCTTAATCTCGCTGACTAACAAACTAACAGATTACATGAAAACACTATCTCCTCGGTGGAGATTAAAACACAAAACTCTGTTAAAGTTCTGAGTTACCCATTAAGATGTCGCTCTAATTCTGCAGGCAGCATTTGATGTTATATTGGAGATGTTTCATAGATTAGTTTCATACTTTAATCCAACTCTTATTATCAAAAAAATAATAATTCAACCAAGAACACTTTGTTGACATCAGTTGAGAGACTTTACTAGTCTATGAGAAAATATGAGTAGGTCAAATCTAAAAGTTCAGTTGTATATAAATACTAAAGGTGTAACGCTCTCTCTCCTCAGGACTTCGACCACCACTGTCCCTGGGTAAACAACTGCATTGGACGGAGGAACTACCGCTACTTCTTCCTCTTCCTGCTCTCTCTGAGCATCCACATGGTTGGAATTTTTTCCTTCGGCCTCATCTTTGTCCTTCACCACAGAGAGAGGCTGGGAACGCTGCACACCACCGTCACGTATCCTATCACTGGAAACACCCACTTCTTTTTAGAGAGGGACAATTTGGTTTCTCGGTTGGTATTTAAAGGAGACATATGATTCTTTTTCAGTTTTTCTTTCCTCCAGTGGGTTTTTTGTGAATGTAAAAGGTCTGCAGAGTTAAAAAGCCTTAAGTGTGAGGTAATGGAACCTTCTCTCCCTGACAGAAAACACTGATGATCCTGAAACGGATCATTGTGATTTCATGTGACATCACAATGCCCCACATTTGCATAATACATGGCGAGGCCAGGGGCCTGATAATTCCTGGAAGCGGTTGACCAATCAGAACAGCCTAGACTTCATCAGAAGGGGGTGCTTAAAGAGACATGAGCGATGAGTGATGCATTTCTGAATATTAGGACATGTAAACCTTTTCAACTAATAGCCTACATTAAAATGTAAACCTGAATATAAGCATAATATGTCTCCCTTAATTTTTCAGAATAATGTTAGAACAATAAAACTGATGCCAGATGCTATGGGTTATTCTTACAGCATATCTATTCATGTCCTTGAGATCAGAACTGTTGTTGTGGCCCTTGACCTTCGTGTCCAGTCTGGTGGTGATGTGTATAGCAGGGCTTTTCTTCATTCCAGTCATGGGGCTCACAGGCTTCCATATGGTGCTCGTGGCTCGAGGTCGAACAACCAATGAACAGGTGAGGCGACACCAGCACAGGAGCTGCTCCCACACTTGATTTGAGATGTACTCACACACACAGACACACACACACACACACTGTAACATTTATCTGACTGTTATCTATGAAAATGAACAGAGCTTCTTCACATTCACACAGATCTCAACGTTTACACCTGGAGCTGCCTCAGTACATATTTGCTTGCTTTAGGGCACCTTTGAAATATTTGGAGAATCTTGAGAATCAGTGTAAACCTCATTTCACTGATTTCAGCTGCACATGCTGTGGAATAATGCAGTTCAATTAGCCCGTGTGGGAGAAATAAATGTGCCTTATTAAAGACAGTAAACACTGAGGCAGTAAAAGGAATAACACAAATGCTAATGAACAGCACAAATATCCCCACACACACTTATTATGAGTCACCTGCTTTATATTCAAGCACTGGACCCCTGTGTCTGAACATGTGTGTGTGCGCGTGTGTGTGTTTGTGTGCGTGCGTTGTCTTCCTCTCCTCAGGTGACTGGAAAGTTTCGTGGAGGAGTGAATCCCTTCACCAGGGGTTGCTGTGGCAATGTGGAGTATGTCTTATGTAGTCCTCTGGCACCGAGGTGAGATGCTTTATTATTCTGCGTGTTTGTGTGTGTGTGTGCATGTGTGTGTGTGTGTGTGATCGACAGAAGATGCCCTTCAGTGATGACTGATGAATAAATGTTCTTGTCTTTCTGCTTTGTTATCAATATGCATTGAGAGACTGTGTATGTGTTTGTGTGTTTGTTTTTGCACACGTCTGTGCAAGTTAATGCTTATCAGGGCCCATGTCATCCATGTATAGCTCTAGTGCGGCATCATCTAACTGCAGTGAGATGTCGATCCATCCTGTGTGTGTTTGTGTGTGTGTGCATGCATGTGTGTGTATGAGTATATTCACATACTCTGAGGTGCTTGTGGAGGTTTATATCCAGCCTGCCTGAAAGCAACCAGGAACCCTGGGGAAAGGTAGATGGCTAAGAGAATTGATTCAGAGTGTAGAGTTAATGGGAAAACGCGGAGCTAGTCGATGTGCTTTTAACACACTAACACACTAACACACACACACACACACACACACACACACACANACACACACACACACACACACACACACACACACACACACACACACACACACACACACACACACATGCAGCATCGCTCACTGCCAGAACACCAGCTTTATATCCTATTGGGACAAGTCCCCTCCCATAGAAATCAAAAGAGTGGCTGCAGAGGGACAACAACAGGTGGGGGTGAAACGCTGTGTTACCAGCTTCTGCCCTGATGGACGGTTTTTACATTTACTGAACTAATGACATGACTGATACTGAACGATCTTTAAAATCTGACACCAAATCACTCATATTCATTTAGTAACATAATTTTTAAAATGTAGGGGGTTGATTACTTCACTCCCCAGGTTCCCACGCTAACCATTTAACATTAAAACAACTCATTAAATTAATTAACCCTGTAAGACCCACTTAAATACAGATTTCTGACAGGAAGTTGTCAGAAATACTTTTGAACAAACCAGAGGGGAGGATGCAGATATAAAAGTCATATAGCGTATGATCAGTGTACTCTAAAGGCCATCATGTGTTGATAGTGGAGTACAGAGTTCAGAATATGAAATAAGACAGGAGTGAAATAACAGGTTGCTGTTTCTATGTGAATAACCATGTTTTGTTCATGGATGTAAATGAATAAGTAGCACACTCTTAAATAAGGATGGATGACGCAATCTAGGTTTCCTGCCAGCGAAAATATCCTGAATGCAAATGCTGTGAATTGGAAACTTGTACAGTGTACTTCACATCAAACTTTGATGTGAAGTACACTGTGTTCTGGTTTATCCGTGTTACTGAGATGCAAACTTCTCATCCTGGTTTCAACCGATGTGGATTAACACTTCATATCTAAAGGCAATGCTGATGGACTATGCTGAAAACTGAACCCTGCTGACGTAGCCCGACAATGAGAAATAATCTTGTTAAAGTGTGGTGTCCAAACACAGGTACACGCTGGACCCCAGAAAAAAGCCCCACATCAAAATCCAGCCCCCGTTCATCAGACCAGATCTCTCAGACCGGCAGGTAACCATTATGGTCAGTGACAACGGCATCCACAGCACCATCGTCAGCTCCAAGGTGAGTTCTTTCCCTGTTATCCTATTGTCCAGCTCACACACAGAACTTTATCTCAGATGATGTTTACCATTTCCTTACGCTTCACCCTCATGTGTGTCATGTTACACATGTGTGTCATGTCACACATGTGTAACATGGTGTATCCTCAGTCCTTTACCCACTTTCCCACTTTCATGCAGCCTCATACTCAGTGCAGCTGAATGAGAGGATGCAGTAGCTAAATGAAGTCAGATATATGGAGAGTCAAATATTAATAGACACCTGACTTCAAAACCAAGTAACTCACAGTAAGTGAGATGT